CTTAATCGAATTTAAGAGAGGAATTGACATATGACAGTGAGAAAAGTCGAACTATTAAAGGGCATCTTAATTTATTGTAAAGAAATAAAATTTCGAAAGATGCACCGCTTTTATAAAAAGTAAAACTAAGAAAAAATCGCAAAGAATAAATCTCCGAGCTAACAATTGAACAAAGGATTTTACATTATATGGAGCATTCTTACAAGATAAAATAACTAATGTAGTATATCTTAATAATACATTCCTTGTTTTAATAATTTATTATTTGCTTTTTGGTTGTTCTTCATAAATAAATTAATTAAAAATTTTGTGAAACATTATTTGACAAAATAAGTAATAATTTGAGATCTTAACTTGGTTCTATTTTAATTTAGTACCTAAAAATTTTTGCGAACATCAGCACAAATCCAAAAGGCACAAGTAACTCTCCCAAAGCTTCTAAACGGCCTCTACCCCTACTACTACTTCTACACCTACGGTGGAACTCTGTGAGATAGCTCTATTGGCCTTTGTCTCGCTCTCTACTATCCTTCTGGCTGTTCTTACAAGCTGATCCTTAAATGGCATTTTACGAAGACACGAGAACCCGAATATCTGTTTATATCCAAACCTTTCCGCCTAGATTTGAATAGGTTATTTAATGATTATAAAATATGGTCATGGAAAAAAAATTAAAAAAATGAAATGTGTAATTGAATTATTATTTTTCTTATAACTTGTGTGTGTGTCCGTGTGTGACCTATGTGTGTCCGTGTTGTCCGTGACTGATGTGTGTCCGTGACCGATTTGTGTCCGGTTGTCCGTAACGGTCACACACACATGGACACACATCGGTCACGGTCAACACGGACACACATAGTCACGGACAGCACGGACACACATAGGTTACACACGGACACTCACACAAGTTGTAAGAAAAATGATCCTTTTGCGTTTATAGCCTTACGGCACAAATCAAAATTAGAGAGAAAAATATAAGAAAAATAAATATTTTTAGGAATATGAAAAAAATTGGATGCCGCCCTTCCTTTCATATAGACTCTTAATTTCTCAATAATGTGGCCAATTTGGATGTTGTTAATACATCGGGATTAATTTTTTGTTTTAATTTTTGCGTGTTAAAATTTGAATTTTTTGGATATGTGAAAAAATTTCGAAGCGCCTTGGGAGCACCTTCTAAAAATCTCTCGCAGTCGTGGGACGCCACAATGGTTTAAAAAGAAAATCTTTGATGGTTTAAAAAGAAAATCTAAAGAAAGTTTTTAATAATAAATAAATTTTTAAATACAGTCATGGAAAAAAGATGCTGTTAATTTAGATTTTGCTGTTAATTTAGATTTTATCGAATAACTTTTTGATTAATTTTTAGAAAAAAGTTTCACACAAAAATTGTGGTTAAAAATTTCAACGTTTTCTGCAATCACAATTGCTACAGAATATTGCATAAAGCACGGGGCACTCGTTGAGTCGCATTTTGATTTGAACCTATAAACAATAAATTTAATATTTATAAATGGAGCAGATTTAATTTAACTAATTTTGCCTCGTAAATATAGTGCTTATGATGGGACGCTTATAGAATTTTTGCTACATATATACTCTCAAGGGGCGCTTAAGCGCTAATTTGATTTATAAAAGTTCATTAGACTCATTTTCTAAACTAGAACCTTTTTTGAGTTAACGGGAGTGGAAAATTGCATATTAATCCAGAGTTTGTGTTTACTATAAATGTATAACTAACTCTCGACATGATTGTCCTGAGTTGTCACAATTTGGTTCAAGAATATATTTCTTTTGATTAATACAGCTTTCCCATTTTCCCCCATCTTAAAATATTTTCTATCATAAAAAAACCATTTGTGCCAGTTTTTATTAAATAAAATATATTTAGAAAAATTGTGTATTTCTCTTTGCTTAAAATATTCTATTACGTTTTTATTAAAAGGATTTCTATTTTCAATTATTTCTCCATCATCAAATAAAGGGTAAAGTTCATGCAAACATCCGATTAATTCAGAAGAATATTCCCCAAAAAATAATTTAACCGCAGCAAAAAAATTATTTTCGTCCTTTATCATATCACCATCATTTAACTTCTTAGAAGACTTAACAAACATAAATTGTACAAATTTCTTTAATTTTCCGAGGGCTTTTTTATCTTCTTCTGACTCAATATTAAATTTAGTCGAAACACATTTTTTAAGTTCATCGTCAACTTCTACAAAAATTTGGATGGCTTTTAAAGCAACGGGTACGCCATCGGCTTGTACATAAATGAGTATGATATAGTTGCCCTTTTCTTTGTATTCCGCACAAATTTCAATATAATTCCATTCTTCAAAATTTAATGACCATTTAAATTTGGTAAGAATTGCATTCTCATAACGGCTAATAATTGCATTCTCATTATTGCTTTTTTCAATTATTGGTTCGAAATTTAGGTTGGCATAAAATAGTGGTTCAATTTTGAGCAGTTCCTGTATAAAACATGCTATAGTAGGGGGAGCACGAATATAGATTTGAAATATATACCATTCGATTCCAATTGCCGGACTTAGTTCGAATATCTAATTCATTTTCTCTATAAGAACAAGCTGTCGAAAATCGATAGTTGGCCGGAATCGGGATCCAGACCGGTATCCTTGTAAAGATCTGACCCCGAAAGGCAAATCCCGATACAATACCGAGGCCGGTATCGGTATAGTGATTAGTGTCGGATACCGATACATATCGTATTAGCGAGAATATTAGTGATGACTTGTTAAAAAAATAAGTGAGCAAAAGAGGGGAGGGTGAAAGGAAATGAAAGCCCATCCCTCGTTATCTTTATATTCTTGATTTTCAGATGATATACAGGGTGACATAATAGAAACTGGACATAAAAGAAACTTTATTTAACCCTGTAATACTAATTAAAATTTAAAATAAAATTAATTTACATAATATACTCCATCCAATTTCAAACAAATCCAAAATCCTCTTCTGTAAATATTTTCGAATTTTTCTATAAAATGAATTTCTCTTTTCTCGTTTGTCAAATTCTCGACTTTATATATTTTTTCTTTAAATTCTAAATTTAACACGCCACAAGTATAGTATTCTTTATCTCTTATAAATAATTTATGTTTTTTGTTTAAAGCCCCAAATTCAATAATTATTTCCAAAGTTTTTTCTGTTGTATTCTCATTTGTTTTGTTGATTTCAAATTTCTTTACATTAATATCTCCAACTAAATTTTCAGAATTCTTTTCGAAAATAACACGTTGATGTGTTTGAATATTTTCAAATGAGTAAGAAAAAAACAAAAAAATTAAATTGACAAAAAGTTTAATTTTTGTCGAAATCATTTTTTTCTAAAATAAAAAGTTTAAATAAGCAATAACTCTCTTTTATTTATTAAAATGTCGGCAAACAAAGAAAATTTTCTAAAATAAACTAGCGATGGGTTTATTTACGTCAGAAATTTAATTGACGGGAGCGTTTTGTACGATACTTTTGCCCATTGGAATGCCTACCGTATTTGGGGCGATATCAGTAAATGTATGAGATAAGAGTACTAAATAAATTTGAAGTTGAAGACTTGGCAGTCGGCCCTACAGTCTGACGAATTATTTCCAGGAGAAAAAGTAAATTTTAAATAAAGTATTATACAAGTGCTACCAAGAATTAAAAAAACTTAAAAAACTTTTATAAAATGAAGAAATAATAAGAAGGAGAATTTTACAATTTTTAAAAATTCCTTTAGTAAAACATAAAAATAAATTTTAAGTTTAAACAAAAATAAAAAACAAGAATGATGAAATCTCTTTCATAATTTTACATATTTCCTGTCGGCATTAGTTTTTACATATTAGTGCATATCTTCACGTGAAATCCTTCTCAATTTCTTAACTGTTTTTTTAAAAGTATAATTGTTTGTCCATTTGCACTTTTGTAAAAATTTTTGTTTAAAAAGGCAAAAATTTATTAATAAATTTTATTTAAAAAATTTCCAAAAAATAAAATGAAAATTTCTTTCATTATTACTTTTGCATTTCTTCAAGCGATTGTGTTGCTATTTGAAATTCAAGTTGATGCAATGCTTTCAATAAATAATTGTTTGTAAAGAAATTTTAAATTTACATTTTCTTTATTACGGCATTTGTACTTTATCAATGGCCCTTTTTCATCTCTCGTATTATTAGTCAGTATTAGAGATCGGCACGTGACGGAGTACCGAGCGGGATTTTGCGGGATTCCGTCCAAAATCCCGGGGTTTTTGCGAAAAACGGGTTACCGAGATAACGGGATTTACTGGATTAATCCCGCGGGATCCCGTCCCGTTCAAAATGTTGAAAAAAATCCCGTCACAGGATTCCGGGAATGCGATTTTACCGATCTCTAGCCAGTATCCTCGGTTTTTGATTAATGCGATTTTAAAAGCTTTAAGATTTGAAGTTTTATACTAACAGCAGCTGCTTTAGGGATGTTTTAAAAATTAACAAAATTATTCATCTCCGTGTTTCAAATTTTAATGGAAATTGAAAAGCCTTTATTATTTAGGGATTATTTTATAACTTGTTTGCCCAGGTTCCTTTCGGAATATAAGGAAAAAAGACATTTATTAAGTCGGAATTAAAAAATTTATTTGTTATTTATTAGGTTGTTCTGGTATTTCTTCAGCAAATTCAGACAATAAATTTAAAATGGGCAGAGGAATTAATGGATTAAAACAATTTAAACAATCGGGAAAAGTTTCGTTTGTTTGCTTTAACCGTCCAATTAATGGCTCGAATAAATTTAACAATAATGAATTTATTAAATACAAACAAAAATTATTAAGTGAAAATAAGAGCGATAATAAGGCAAACGAAAAAGACAATAAAATTTTTGAATCTGAAAAGTTATTTGATGAAGAGGAAAATAATCTAAAATTTAATTTTGTTAAAAAAATACTTTCCCGTGCCCTAGAGGTATATAACAGATTTTTAAAATTTAAATCTGATAACTAGAGTGCGCACTTTTATGAATAAAAAATGCAAAATCTGCACTATAATATGCATAATATACCAAAATATACACAAAAATATGCAAGAAATTACAAATTATTCCCAAAAATTTATGTCGCGTTTTGCGACGAGAAAAGAAAAAGAATATTAAAAAATAATGAATCACATTTAAATTATTTTGTTTGATTCATATTTAAAAAATTTATTTCGATTTCATTTTTTGTCCCACCCCCAAAATAATCATTATAAAAGACAAAAGCCTATATTAAAAATACACACTTACATTTCACATTCATTCAACAAAAAACTTAAATTCCCTCTAAAAATATAGGCTTTTGTGCTCCCCTTTAAAAGAATTTGAAGAATAAAAGAAATTGGAAAAAATTGTGTTTATTTTTTATTTAGGTGTTCAGGTTATTTAATTTTTTCCTATTCAATTAATTTTGAATAGAAGACAGAAAAGCTAGGACAAATAAAAACCCTCTTTTCTGTACAATTTAAATGTGTTTTTATCAAAACAATCTAAATATCTATTAAGATGATTACTACTAAATTTAATTTATAGTTCGACAAATTGAGTGTTTTTACTCAGTTAGACATTTTGAGATGTGACGTTTGGGGGGGAGGGGGGGTGGCTACTACTATATCATGACAAGTTTGCCAAAAAATATGAATTTGCATAAAAATAACCCATATATCTTTTTATTTGTATATATTTCAAGTTAATTAGTAACCCCTAAAGCTTCAATGTAATAATTATATTAAACAAAAATTTAATTAGATATACAATTTTTACGGCATAAAGCAATTAACCAAACGTTACGTGAATGATGAACTTATTGTAGATACTGCTTCGGATGATCGAATAAACATAATTCAAGTCTCCAAACTTTTAATGTTATTTAATATAAATACAAATTACTATATAATGAAAGGGCAAAATTTGTTGATTGCTCTACATGAGTGTTACCAAATCATTGCTATGATACCATTAGTTTTTGAAGTCGAATTAGTTTTGAAGAAAATTGAGGATGAGGGAAATAAAGGAGATAAAGATAAATTACTAGAATATTTCACACTAAATGAAATTAAATACCCAATCTGTAACTTACATGCTAGTAAGGTAGGAAATCTGTAAAGTGATTATCGTAGAAATTTTATTTTATCCAATCGTATTATGAGAAAAAATTACAAATATGTAGTTATTCTAGAGCCTTTAGTGAAATTTGAGTTTTTTGAAATTGTTTTTGCACTCACACCTTTCCCCATCTCTCCGAAAACGACAAAAATTTTCCCGCAACCTCGTCCATGACAGTCCATTCCATAACATTCCCCGAGGTTTTCCCCAATGAGTAGGGGAAAAACCTACAATATCTCTATCAAATTTCTTTTTGCACATATAATAATAAAATTTATGTTAAGGAAGTTGATTCTTTAGATGAGCAACTTGGTTATTTATCTTGTCTGATACATTTAGAAGAAAAATTTCTTAATAATAATAGTGAAACTTTAATTAAACATGGAAATAAAGCATTTCTTGATTTATATAATTCACGCATTAAAACAGCTGATATGGGTGAGTTATTTAAATTGAGAGTAAATAAATGGTATAAAGTGGCGCTATTTACTAATAAATCATTGTAATGTTAAGTACTAAAGGGTGACCATTAAAGTTTAAGACACACTTTTTATGCCATAACATTATTCAAATGTAAGATATTGAGAGCAAATAAATCTTATTTGATAGATAATTAACCAAGAAACAAAAATAAACAGGAATTTTTGAAGTACTTACCCTTTACGAGGGTAAAGAATCGAAGGCATTCGGTTTTATGCTCACCCTGTAAAAATATAGAAAACTAGATAAAACAAAGTCCAAAACAGAATTATTAGTATAAACTTCATATGTATAAGCAACCTTATGGGACATAAAATAGAAAATAGGTTGAATTAGTTAATGCCTAATAAAACAAAATTAGAAAATAATTTAATTGTATATGTAATTTTAAACATAAATAATTACTCCCCCCCCCCCTTGCCCACTATGGGGTGGGGAGAGTATCTATTTACTAATAAAAATGTTTACTAATTATTGTGATTTTCAGTAATATCCCGCATCAAAAATATTCTCAAAATATTTAATAATTTTAATGATGCAAGTTTGGACAAAGGCTCTTCGATAATAAAGAAGAGTTTGTCAGATAATGAAAAGGAAGAGTTAATGGAAAAATCCGAATTTCTTAAAAAACTTTATAGTAAAATGTTGCCAGGAGATAAAATATTTCCAGGCATAAATCAAGTTATTAAAACAGAATATTGGGGTGATTATCAAAAGAAAAATACAAAAAACTAAAAAATTTTAAATGGGAGAAAGTATGACGATAGTAGAAGTAAATGTGTAAAATTAAGAAAAAATTTTTAAATTTGAATATTATTTAAATGAATTTATATATTTTTCACAATTTTCTGGTTTAGTTGTAAATGAATCATGTTGTCACATTTTTAAAAGTTATTCTAATTGTAAGACGAATTAGGGTGAGGGAAAAATACTTGGAAGGCAGAGCCAAGGTCGGAATTTCAAACAAGTGCATTTTGTGACTGTAATGCAGATTTATCGGATCGAAATTAGACTACAATGTCAATGTAAAATATCCCTCTCTAATAAAAATTTGAAATTTGTAAAAATCTAACAAGATTTTTGGATATTTTAATAATTTAATAAAAAGCTACCTTTTCTAGTTTAGAACCTAAAGAAAAAATCTGTGGTTTACTTTTGCTTTTCATTAAATTTTATGTAAAAATAAAAGCTTGGAAATAATTTTTGAAACTTAATTCCAAATTTGAAAAATGCAACAACATAAATATCATAAACAGAAATCCTATTTCCGTTTTTTAAATCTATAATACGTGATAAATGATAATAATTTATACACATGAGCTCAAAATTTAGACAATGTTAGTGTGATAAAATAAATGTAAATTTAACAAAAAAATTTTTTAACATAACAAATTAAAAGTCAAAATGTTGTTTATTGTGATCTGGAAGGGACACATATTCGAACATTTTTAAAATACAAAGAAATAATAGAAGCACGATTCTTTAACATTCTGTAAAATTTTTACCTTATGAGATAGGAAAAAATTTTCAAGATAAAATGTGTAGAGCACGAATCGTAGAATATGGGAAATCTAAACAAAAAGCAAAATATAAAGTAAATTTTATGAAAGGACAAAATAAAATTTGTCGCCGAACTTTTGCCCCACCCTAGGGGTTTACCTGTATATTTAGTGATAAATTGATATAGCAAGCAATCTTAATGAAACGTAATAAACTCATTAAAGGTAAGAAATTTAATAAAATTTTTAAAACAATTTTAATAATTAATTCAACATCCATTTAATTACTTCATCTTTCTTCAAATACTTAACTTCAATTCCAAGCTGGGACATAATTACATCTCTTTCTTTTTCTGACATTTTAGATTGATAGGAATAAACTCCCTTTTTGCGTGGTAAATATGAGGATATAATCTTTTCTTTAAATTCCTTCAAAATTTGTTTCCCTTTATCTTTACCGAATATATTTTCTTTATTTTGAAGGACCTAAATTCAATGCAAAAGTTTTTATTAAAATTATAGCTGAATCAGACTTTTGTATTAAATAAAGTAAATTTCAGTAGAGACCTAACTGATCCATAAATTACAAAAGATTAGTGGAGACTTGATACTATGAGTTCTCAAGTCACAAATTGAGGCATATCAAGATGGCAAGGAGTTTTTTTTCATTTAATCCCTGTCTCTTATTATATCACTCTTATATATTCTCTTATTAATCCTGCAAATTACTGATATCCCCAACCTCCGAGAAATTTGCTTCATGTTCACATTTTAACTTTTCTCAACCCGTACGATCCCTGAAACACACATCATAAACAAAACAATCCCAGATTAAACTAACATTCCAATTATGAAATTAACTGTAAATTTGAACAACAACTTATTTTGAATTTTACCGTAGATATATCAATTTACCTTATTCCCATTATTCTCAGTAATTCCAAAATCAATTCCAACTAGCCAAATTATGCATACCCATCCTTTTTTTCTAAATTCTTTTGGGCATTGTTTCTTATCTCGAATAGGTTTTTGTAAATTTGCATGACAAATAGCATCAATTTCTGTCTCAATTGAAAATAATAATTGAAGACGGATACGTGTAGTAGAAAAATCACAAAATTCATCTCCATATTCACTTGTGGAGGAATAAGTGCAGACAATAGCGAGAAATTGATCATACTTAAAAGATTATAGGGTTTATTGTCGATTTTGATAGCTAATTATTAAACTAACTTTATTCTTAAATTCACCACCACCACTTAGCAAACCTTCCCATTGATTTCTTAAATCAACATGGTTTCCATCAAGATTTTTAGAAATTTTTGATTTTGCCTTCAAAGCATTTTTTATATTTGTTTTAATAAAATCTTGCGCTAAATTTTAAGATTTTTATAATGATAAGGCAGAAAAATAATTTTTTAACACATAGGAGAAAATTTTTTGGCCGGCCAAAATAAATGGGTACAGCCCAGTAAACGCGCGGCCATAACTTGCTTCAAGATTTACGAATCTTACCAACTTTAGTATTAAACGATTCCACTCATCGAGCTAAAAAGATTGGTGCCAAAATTATTAAGGGTCAGATTTGTGGTTTCCAAAAATAAATATTAAAAAATAAAGGCCGTCATTACAAATTTAAATCAGCGAAAGTAGGTAAAATGAGGAGGATAGAACCCCACAATGTTTACCTCCTTTCATTTCTCTCCAAATAATTTTCCTTGTGGACATATTAATATTAAATCCGGCATTTTGTTTAGGCAATCCAGGTGTTATTATTGGCCAAACTAATTTTGTATGTTTTTCCATTTTCGAATTCTTTTCCGAAATTGCTTGTCTATTCAAGATTACTTTTTCCAATAATGACTGTTTTTCTTTAATCTCTTTTTCCAAAATTTGTTTTTGATAAGGAAGTGCTTTTTCTAGAAATCTTTGTTTTTCAATTATTTGATCTCTTAACACTTTTTCTGTATTATTTATGTAAAGATTATTTCGAGATTCTCTCTCTTTTGTTTCATTCCAGTCTATTGCTTCACGTAATTCTTCAATGTTTTTGTTATTTTCTTCAACAAGACTAATTGGTTCCAGTTCGTTTTCTAGGTGTTCTTCTATTTTCTTCTTAGTTACTAGAGTATTATTGTTATTCTCATCTCTGAAGGGAGAAAATTTAAAAAACTATTTTCCTCAATGATTAAATAAAAATCCTAAAATTGCGGATAATTTCCCTATGAACTCTCGAACAATTTTTGATTATTGGTATTATCAAAAGTTGGTCAGAAATTTCTTACGAGAAATTTTGAGGAATTCTAGATAAGCTTAACATGACAATTTTAAATCAAATAAACAAACATTTTATCCATCCATTTATATGTATAAACATCAAAAAACTTTGCTAATAATTGATAAATTGTCATATTTGTCGAATTAAAATCAACAAGTATTTTTGTCACTAAAATGGCTAATGAAGTGCCACTAAAGAATCCGAGTTTACCATCATAAACAAAATGACCTGAAATTATTTAATGTAGGAAAAAATATGCAAAAAAAAAATAAAAAAATTTTGACTGTAAATTTACATTAATTTTATTTATAGTAAATAAATTATTTTTAATAATTGATCCTTTTCGTAAATAAATTTTCTGTTATTATATTTATCTAATAAATAAATCCTTTTAGTATATTTCAACCATACTAGGGTGTGAAAAGCGAGGATAAACAACAGGAGAAAACCCTTGGATTATACTTTGGGATCCGAACTAACCCAATCAAATTAAAACATTTCTATTACTGACAACTAATTATTTCTGCTAATTAATATTCAAACTTCGGAATACAACAGTTACTAATACGTTGAGGTAGTCAATTGCGTACTAGTTATCAAAAGTTAGTATATTCAGACCGATCAGCATAAACTACAATATTTGTTTTGCTTTTAATACCTGCTTTACGTTTCTAATATATCCTAAACTCCCGAATACAAAGCGTTTTTAAGGCTATCCAGTTGGATCCCGAATCTTTCTAACGATATTTAATAAATAAAATATTATTTAGCTAGATTATGAATAATTTAGCTAAATTTTTTAATAAAATAAACTTACTTTTTGCCCAAAGTTTTAATGACAATAATAATAATCGAAATTTAGTTTCATTTTTTGCAGTAATTTGATTGATCCGAATATTAGCACGATAACCTTTTTAAATATGTAGAAAAATTTTTAATTTTATTTTGTTTAGTAATTTTATAATCTTAATTTATTTACTTAAAGGTTTTAGGGGGTTTTCCTGATTTTTCCATACATTTTTTATTATTTTTTTAATTTTAAGAAGCCAAAAAATTTTCAAAAGGCCTACAAGTCAGAAATCTTTTTTTATAAGAAATACGAAAAATGGGAAAATACCAAAATCGGATTCGCAAATCCTGTAAACATATTTGCCGGAGTCTCATCTTGATTTGGGATTAGTAACTAGGATCGGACTGTTTTTGGCTGAATTTTCTGGAAAATCATGATCATAGATCAAAAAAATCCAGATTAGGAATGGACAAATTATCAAAATGGTGTCCCAGGGAATGTTTAATAAAAATCAAATATTTTTCAATAGAAAGACATACCGGATAAAGAATTAATCATTCCAAAACGATCAAATTGGAGATTTGTCCCAAATTGTTTAGTAAAATTTAAAATAAAATTATCTATTTCATTTAGATTTTTTAAACTTTCTTCGCTTTTTATAAAATTCAAAACTTGTTGAGAATTTCTTTCCCAAGGATATGCAACAAAGGCTAAATCAAAGGAATAGTCATGAATTTTTGCATTTATTTCACTAACACCCGTTGTAATTTTTCTGAGCCATGATGTTGCTTTGTTCTATTAAATGAAGTGAATTTATATTAAAATAATAATTTTTATTTGATATATTTTATGGTCTTTTATGTTAAATTTTTTGTAGAAAAAAGGTTTCCCTTGTATTTTGGTTACTGACAATCCTAAAGGCTTCTATATGATATTGGTGATTCGAATTAGGGCCATACACTTGAGAACTCTTAATAAATCTCGACTAATTCGATAAGAATACCTGGCATAGGACGCAGTATAGCGATCCTTTCTCACTACATTCCTCCCTTTTTTCAAAATTACATTCAGATCTAATACCCATAAATTCATCATCCAACATTATTTTTGTTACAAATTTACCATTATTGTCATTATAATTAAATGGCAATACAACGATAAAATCAACATCAGATTCTACAGAATTTATATTTAATAAATAAGAACCAGAAATTAATGTAAAAGCATTTTTGTTCTGAAAATATAAAATTGTTTTTTGTTAAGTATTATCAGAATTTATAAAGAATGGAACAATTTTTCTGAAGATAATTTTTAATGAAGATATCTTTTCTCATTTAAATTTATATGAAAAATAACCCATAAATAACTAAACAAAGGCTTAACGATAATGGAGAGTCTCGAAGAACCAACTTCCGAATATAGTCTTTCGAGAAAAATTATGGTAAGTCTGAAAGAGGAATGCTTAATCAAGTATCAACGATACCAATTGAAAAATAAACTCAGGGCTTTCATAAAAGAACTCTATCTTTCACTCTATCTTTCAATCTTTCTTTCATCTTTCACTCTATTCTTTCAACAAAGTTAAAATATTTTTAAAAAATTTTTAAATTACCCAAAGTTCAACCATTTTCTTTATATCATTAATTGCTTCTTCTAAACTAATTTTTGTTTTTTTATTTTTATTCCAATAACCCTTGTCATTTAATAAATCAACAAGCTTTATAAATTAAAAAAATAAATTTAATTTTTAAAAATTTGAATTTTAAATTGTTAATCCGTTATTAAAAATTTCTTAAATAGATGTAGGGTACTCATTTAGCCTTTAATTTCTTAGTTTAATATGTACAGAACGGTCAGTGAATAAATACATAGAACCGATGGAATTAATTAATGAAAGAATTAATTAAAATTTAATTAACTAACTGATTATTATTCAGAATTGATTGAATTTAATAATAATAGGCTAAATATGGAAGTCTCTTAAGTCTTTCATAACAATGAGATATATGTACAGACATATCAGTACATTTTAGATTAGTTAATTTTCTCGTGTATACTTTTCACATTTATTTCCCTAAATTTATTTCCTTAAATGTTAGCTTAAACTGAATCTTAATAACTATTCGATTATTATTTGAATCATGATTTAAGTTTAAATTAAAGTTTAGTATTCAAAAAAGGTTCAAAGGCTTATAGATCTGGTCAAATTGATCAAACATTTTACCTAATTTCAACAATAATTTTTTAGAAATACCTCATTATTTTCTTCAAATAAAGTCAATTCTCGGGTTTGTTTTGGTTCGTCTTCATTTATAATTATCTGACCAACTTCCTCTTTGTCCAATTTTCCTTGATTTGCTTTAGAACTTTTTTTCGAACTTTGTTTACCCCTTGATCTGGGAAATTTTGTTCGGTTATTTTCTTTTTTGTGTGTTTTTTGTTCATCCATTACTTCTTTATGGGGGATTTCACTTTTGGGGATTTCATTAGATTTTACTTCCTCACTAAGGGTGATCTCATTAGGTGGAGTCTTTGTTTCATTTGTTGGTTCTGTTTAATATTAAAAATTTTTTTGAAATTTTTAAAGTTTTTCGCAAAAAGTAAAAAATATTTTCTATTTCTTTCATTATTGCCTATCGGCGAAAAAGTATTGTGCTATTCCAAACTACATTAAGGTCCCTCATAAATAGGGTTGTCGGTTTAACAAAATTCTTCGGTAAACCGAAACCGAACCGACAAATCGAACCAGAAAATCTTCGGACTTTCGGTTTGGTTCGGTTTGAAACCGACAACACTACTCATAAACTACATATTTAATCCCTATAATAACAATTTTTATTACAAATTTTCTCGTAGTCTTTTGTTTCTTAAAAATTTAAAAAATAAAATCCAACCTAATTTTATGTCATTTAATAAAGGACTGCTTATTTCTTCTGTATTACTTTCCCCCTCAACATTCTCCACCTTATTATCAGAAATTTCAGCAAATTCAATATTTCCACCCGATTGTTCCTCTAAATTTTCAACTTGTAAATTTTTCTTTTTCTCTTTATTTCTTTGTCTTTTTGATTTTCTGGCCTTTGTTTTTGTTTGTTGTTCACTGATTATATTGTGTAAACTATCTAGTATATCATTTCTGTGATGTATTATTTTTTGAATTACTTCATTTGTTTCGTCTTCAGAATTATTATCTTTTGAAAATGGTGAATCTTCCGTATCATTTTCGATAGAATCTTCGATGATTTTTCCTTTATTTATATTATTTATTTCCTCTTCATCAAAATATTCTTCTTCAATTTCTTCTAAATTTTTTAGTTCATCAACTTCTTCAAATTTGATATTGAGGTAACTAAGACTTTTGCGAGCATTTTCTGGGCCAATTAAATTATAGAGACGTTTTAGAGACGAAAAAGATGATGAGAATCCTTTAATAAAATAAATATAGCAAAGGGATGATCAAACTATCAAGCATTTAAAATTGCTTTGTCTGATACGATGCTTTTTATGACTAAATGTGGACTTTTGCTTATCAAGTCATCGAAGTTTATCAGGTACAGAAAGATTATTTATTTTTCGTTTATTCTTTTGTTAGTACTAAGACATATGATATCATTACTCAAACACATTTTTCAAATATCAAATCTTTCAAATAGTATCAACCCTATCAATTATTTTCTTTATGTACAAAATGGTCAGTCTTTACTTGTATAATTTCCAGAAATTCCCCTCTGAAATTATTCATTCAGTCAATCTTCCTTCGACAAGAAGTGACTTGAAACAGCTTTTTATAGATCTTACTTATTTGGAGTTATGAAATATATTCACCTACCTTTACTGATTTGCTCCTTGAAAATCTCTCTATTTTCACTTTCATTTTGAAGCATAATTTCATTATTTATGCCAAGTTCCTCATAAAATTCATTTGCAACAATCATTTGACGCCATTTTAAAAATTCTTTTCTTTCACTAGCAGAAATGAAAATTTTGACAGATTTTTCTTTTAAATAATCAGAAATTATATCAATTGTTAATTCTTGAATATTTTTATTTTTAATCAATTTTTTATAAAATTTAAATTGTTGAATATTTAATATTGTTTGTTCTTTTATTAATCCCTCAATGTTCATATTAAAAATTTTATCATAATCAGATGTGTATTTGAGGACTTCAGTAAGACGAAAATCTTTTAGTTGATCATCACTTTTTAAATTCAAAGCTTTACTAAAATTGAACGACTTGTTTGGAACACTTTTTTTGGAACCAACTCCTTCCAATTGAGTAATAATCTGTTTAATAAAAATAAATTCAGAAAAATATTTAGGTAACTAACTTTGTCAATTAATCGAATAAACGATATAATTTCAATAGCAATCTTGTTTAAAATATTTTCGGATTCATTGTCATTAAGAATTGCTTTAATAAAATGATTACGTAAACGCTCTCTTTGTTTAGAAGATGATACTGGAAAATAATTTGATTAATTATAATTTTATTGTTATTTTAAGAATTGTCTGAGAAAATAGAATCAAGAAGAGCTGAATAAAGTTTATATCCAATAGCCTCCTATATTATGTAGCTCGAATAATAATTAAACGTATAATAACTATTCTTATGGCGGCCCCTTAGCTTGTCTGAAATGTGGATTTAAAAGCTCAAAATTGAATTGTCTATAAACTCAAAATAATTCTGTAATAATTAGGGTTTTCCAAAACATGCAAATGCACATTTAACACGAATTATCACTAAACATGCCATCTCACTATGCCGGAGACATTATCTTGCTTGAGTAAAAATGGGTATTTTAAGGTCTATAAACTTAAAATAATTCTTTAATAATTAAACAAACTAACTATCAACTTCAAAAAATTCTTGAACCGTCACATTAGGACAAAGAAGGTCAAGTTTAGAAAGCATTCCGGGTTTAGTGCATTTTTGCAATATTTCAGAAGAAAATTTTTTTAAAAGCATAAAATGTTCATGTGACACCAAGTGTCTTATTTCCATTTCTGTATTTTTATGAATTATTCTTCTTCTACAAAAAGAACCATTCCAGATACTAATTAGTAAAGCTGCATGATTTGGATTGTAAACTTCTCTCTATAATGTATTTATTAGCTTTTTACAATTAAAATTGATGTAAATCTTAATTGCATTAATTAATGCTACCCGACATTGGCGGAACTGGATGTGAAAATTTTAGACGTAATAATTTTCTACTAATAATAATACTTAAGTTAATGCTACACAAAAAATTTTCCCGCGATTTTTCAGAAAATTGTTGCATTCTCAATAATCGCAATTTTTTAATTACGCAACAAAGCAATTACGCCAAGCTGTCAACAAATCAAAGGAATCAAAGGTTAATAACTATGGCTGCCGTTTTCGAGTTGGGCCGACGTTCGAGTTGTTTTTTCGGGCTTCATTTTTATCGAGTCTGGCATCGAGTCTTTTTTGGGTCAAAATTCCATTGAAAATATCAAAAAAAGCAATAATAATGAATAAAAATGTCTATTTGTACATAAGAATTCAAGGGATAGTGATTTGCAGGGATCATGATCTTAATGTCATGAAAGGATTAAGGGGATTACGGATGGATTTGAAGGATATCGGAGGATTGAGGGGAAGGCCAAGTAACTAAAAATTTTGAGAGTCAGATTTCTCCTATTATTTTTGTGGAGCAGTATAATAAAGCCAAAATTCGATGTCCGACTCGGTCATTCCGACCGGACCGGGCCGGCAACCCATTTAATAGCCTAATGATTTTGAAAATAAATATTTACATCAAAACATTCTAGTAGAAGCATAATAAAGTTAAACATAAAGCATAAATTCTCATCTGAGTAGATTTCTTCAGCTTTGTAGACTATTACATTCATTGCCCAATCCAACCTTTCTTTAAAAATATTTCTTAAATACTCATTTTTTCGCGATTCAATTATTGAATAATTATCTATTAACATTTTTAACAAAAATTTTATATTTAATGTTTTAATAGCTTCTATAGAAATGGACGAAGCTATTGGATTTTGAAGATATTCTTCATAATATTTAATAGCTACATCCTTTTGCACAAAATCTGTAAAAGAAAATAATTTAAATATTGCTCAACATTAATTGCATTTTTCTATATATTTTTGTTGCAATGGATTCATAATAGAGCTCTATTTAGAGTCTAATTTTGTATTAGAAATTTTAAAAATAAAATAATTTTATAAAAAAATGGGGAATTTATGATTGAATAAAAATTGAAGAACCTCAGGGTTTTACGGGATTTAGGATCATTTATACACGGAAACTGTATTTGATTTCGTCATTTGGCTTTGTCATTTATCCGACTTCGTCGTTTGCAAATACGGGTTTTACGAAATTTCGGAATCTTCTTAGTTTACTTAAACAAATTTTTTGTATGTTCAAAAATTATAGTGATAAATTGTGGTGGATAAATTGGGGGGAGGGGGGGTGGGAAGTAACGAAGGAAGTAAGGGATAAAGATTTATAGATTACAGTAATCTAACAAAATAATCTAAGAGAACTTTACTCACCTATTCTCAAAATTTCAGGATATTTAATCTCCAATTTGTTCAAATTCTCAATACCAATTAAATTTATAAGATTTTTCTTATATAAATCTAAATATTTTAAACGTTCCTCCTTTTTCATTCCATTTTTGCAAAAGAAAAGTTGAATATCTGGATATTTTCCAATTAAAAATTCGAAGTAATTAAAAATAATTTTTTGAAGAACATCTTTGTGTTTATAATTTAAATACTTGTCAAGAATATGTTCTGTAGTTTTAGCAAAATTTTTGTTGTCCTTTCCTTTCAGGATAATTGGAAGATCAGAGTGAACCTGATGATAATATTAATTTAAAGTTCATGTAAATTTTTGATAATTTTTGAAGGGTAGTACGGCTATGTACTAAACTTTAAATTTTTTCTAGATTTGGTAAGGGAAGAAAGTATCGTGGAGTTCCATACAAATTTTATTTAAAAAAATTTAAAAATATTAATTTTTTGGGTAAATTTAATTCAAGAGTTCAAAATCTAGAAATTTAAATTTTATAACTCAAAAATGTAAAAATAATAAAATAATATTTATTAAAATTTTGGGCTCATGTTTAGTTTACAGCAAAGATGGGCCAGGTTTCGGATCGGGGTTCAGGTCGGAAACAAGTCCGAATTTGGGTCCGTTCAGTTATAAATTTAGACTATAGTCAAAGGCATGCGTCCCATATGCTTTTATGCGACACATTAGCGTTCTGGCGTCCCATCAGCAAATAGAATATCTGTCCATCCATGCTAAGAATAATCGAGGAGATATGTTACGGGAGCCACTGGGTCTTTGCTATTTTAAAAAGAAGTACAGGCCGGAGAACAGATACTTTAAAGTTTACCCATCCAAGATAAAGTTTACGGACTCAAAAAATATAATGAAAAATAAGCATCGAAAATTTAAAATTACTTACATTAATATCAAACTTTTTCAAATATTTAGACCATTCTTGATCATTTTTAGAATTTAATATATTTTTTATATCATCATCTAAAATAAAATAAAGACCACAAAGTTTTTCTTCTTGATTCTTTATTTTTAATGTTTCGACAAAATTTTTGACAATTTTGCTTTTATCAGAAGATTTAAAATCTTTAATCATTTCTTTTATTTTAGTCTCATAATATAAAGCGATTGAATTAATTATAATTAATTTTCCGTAATCAGCTGTTGTGGAAGTTAAATATTCTTTGATATGCCGGTTTTCCTCTTTCTCTATATTTCAAAATATAAAAATTACTTATTGTTAAGAAAGTCCTTAGGATAGCCACTATATTTTTAGAAAATAAAAAGTTTTTAAGGTTGGTGTATGTATTATGGTACTATTGAAGAAGTGTCCATATTCAGAGCTGTAACCCTCGGATTTCCGGACATTTTTGTTTTACATAGATATCCTGATTCAACTTACATAAACAACTCGATTAAAGTAAAACTTATTAACAGTTAAAATCAAGAAAAATAAATCAAGAAAAATATCAAGAAAAATAAGGAACTAATTTAGTTAGGAGAATTTTAATCAAGCTGATCACTGGTGATGCAGCAGAAACAAATATGAAAACTCTACTCGACCAAGGCAAACTCTGACTTGATTTATCCCTATTCGGGATCCATAAGCTCAAGGAGCTAGCTTAATAATTAAATGAATCCTAATGAGAGTGCTCCTAGAGTAAGACGTTAATTGGACTATGTCTAGCTTTAATTATTTTTTGTTTTTAACTTTTAAATTTTAATTTCTCCACAATAAACATTTTCTAAAATTACCTTCAATCTTTGTGACATTCTCTGGGCAACCAATATATTTATGCGGCTTAAATATTAAATTAATTTAATAATCTATTTAATTAATACCAAATTGTCATAAGTTGCTGGAATAAGCAAATCATACATTAAATGGCCAATTTCTTCTTTTTGTTCAATTTCTTTAAAGGATAAAATAATTATCTTAAATTCTCAAATAAAGCAGTTCCGAATAGAAGCACACCCCACTAGAGGTTCATAAAAACCTCTAATTTAGGCACACCCCTGTACACCGTTGAAAAAGCACATGGTCATTTTTATTTTTAAATTTAGTTCGTAATATGTATGTAGGTAGTGTTTCGATTTCCAAGAACCGATTCTGGTCCACTATAGATCAACTTTTAGTGGTTTATTTGAATTATTGTTTTAGTATTAACGGTCTTTTGCATATCATTCTTATAATTTTCCAAAATTAAGGAATATCTAAATATTTTTTTTTAAATCTAAAATTATTTTACTTTTAAATCTGTCTTCAAATTTTGGATCATTAACAAGTATCTGGAATATTTTCTTATGATTTTTTTGTATCATAGCAATTTGGTCGCTTATAATTATCAATTCTTTGCTCTAAATTTTTACTTATTAATTTTATTTTATTTAAAAATTTGTATAAAATTTTAAATAATTTTTTTAAATTAATCAAAGAACAAATCTTTTTTAAAAGTTTTACTAAATTTTTGAATTATTAATATGTAAAATAAACCTCTTTATATGCTTTGGTTTGATGCTCTTTAGCTGTATTTTCTGCCTTCACTTCATCATCATTAAATGAATTAATCGCCGTATAAAAATAATTTAATTCTGGATTTGCAAAATTTAAACAAAATTCCAGATCCTTGTCAACAAGGGAATCTGCAAGTCCCAAAATCCTTCTTTTCCTCGAATCCCAATCAGACAAGTGCATTTCAAATATCATTTGATCCTTTTTATTTTTTGTTTTCTTTAAATTGTTATAAAGTTCTTGTATAAAATATATTTGGACTAGCAGAGAAGCACTATAAAACATTTTTAACCCATCTTCTTCATTTAAATCGTTTAATCCTTTTATGTAATAATCTGATAATTTATTCAGTATTTCTGATTGATCTGTATCTAAAAATTATTTGTTATTAAGAAAATTCGAGATATTAAGACAAATTATACACCAATATAAATTGTATTGGTGTGCCTTGAGTCGAAGAATGCGCAATCAGAAGAACGCGCAGCACAACTGAAGACGCAATCAGTTGTGCTTCGGTTTTGGCTGATCAGGGATGGTTTTAATTCATCTCCCATCCAATTAATTAAATTATTAAAGCTTAACGTCTTAATAAATTGGTAGTAAGGAGAAATTCGTAGTTTAAAATTTGCTTATTAAAAGTTATCGCCTACTCAGATATTAAAATTACGAGATTGCAGGATGGAAAGTGAATTATATTATAACGCATTTTAACGACATTTCTTATGCTCTGTAGGATTTAGTACTTACCAAAATTAACTAACGGAATTAATTCAGAATATTCTTTTGAATATTTAGGAGGATTAAGTAATGTAAATCCTTTATTTAATATTATAACTTCTATTCCAAATAAAAGTAGACGTAGACGTGTTTTTGTTCCGATAGTTTTTTGTAAAAATTTTAAAAATTGTCCATAAATTTGTTTATTTTCATTTTT